GCTGGGAGGTCGGGCGATGCACACACGGGAGTTTTGCATATTCCGACATATTGCGTCCACCATGCACGCTGGACGGGCTGATTTGTGAAGTGCCACCGCCAACGCACTTTGTTGCAAAGTTCGTTGAGCATTGTGTTTATCATGTGTTGCTTAGGCTCGCCCTTGTCTATGAAAACATGTTTTTTCTGGCGTAGCTTGTAAGGGATAAAAACAACTGTGAACGGCAGCTCGCTAAGGGAGGGGAAGCGAACTGATTTTGAAACCATGTCAACAACGCATACGGCTTGTATGAGCGTGTCGTAGTCCAGCAACTTGTGCAGGATGACGTCGTCAGCCCATTTGAGGTAGGACCAAAACAGACGATCACACTGCAAGCCATTTCCTACCACTTGCCGCCCCCCTTGCCGCCATAGTTTCCGCCTTTGGCTGCTCCTTTCCCTCCTTTTTGCGTGCCATTGGCTCTCGTTTTGCCTTTGGTGCTGCCCTTGCCCTCCAGCTCGTTCTCGGTCCACCCCTTGCCGTCCGCGCGTGTCTTGTACGACCAGCCGTTGCCTCTGTGACCCTGTTTGCCCTTGCTCTGCTGGCGGGTTTTGCCTCCAGAGTCTGGAAGCGAATCCTTTTCCGCTCAGCCAAACTCTTTTTTTCTAAGCGTCGTACTTTCAAATTTAATGGCTTTGATGGGACTGCTCTTGTACACTCTTCTGCCAATGTGTTCGATGTTGCTTCGACTTCCCATTCATCCAACTCTGAATGCCCAGCCTGGTACTTCACGAAATCAAAAACCTGGCCTTCGCAACCCTGTGATGATTTTCCTTTGCCTTTGCCGTTCGCCTTGCCACCTTTCTCTTGCTTCGACTCCACGATAATTTGTTGCACTGCCTGTCGGAGCCTAGTTTCTGGATTCATCTCAGCGGCTTGGGAAACCAACGTATTCCTACGTTCCGTCTCCTTCTTTTTATGTGCCTCTTCTTTTTGCCTCCTCGCGAGTATTTGGGCAGCATGTTACGGTAAAACTCGTTCGCCAGCTCCTCTCTCGCCACTGGTGGTGGGAAGAGGCCAGGGGGAAGGTCCAGTCCCAACGTGGAAACGCCCGTATGCAACTCGCTCGACGGTACGCTCGCTGCCTCCAAAAAACTTGCGGTGGCGAGTTCCATTGTATAAGATCCCAACCAGTTTTCCACTGAAATCGTGGTCCAAGCTAAGCGCGTGGCACAAGTAGCCCATGAAGAGCTGCTCTTTGGCTGGCCTCCACGAGTTTCCTCCCTTGATGTTGATGATGAGCTGGAGGGGGGCCTTCGTTCATCTGCTCGTCGATCTCTGGGTTCATCCACCCGCACTTGAAGCGCGGCAGACCAGCTGGTAGTTCATTATGGTTCAAATTCTTGATATGTGAATCGAGCTTAACCATTATTTGTGTGGTGCGTAAAAGTGCCCTGGCGACGTACCCAACGTTTGCGCACTGCGGGGCATAAGTACATCAGGATTGCTACAACGGGGGCGATGACGCAACATGGACGCATGTGATTTTGCAAACAGCAACCGGAAGGTTCGCAGGCCCCCGATCAAGATCTAAGGGCTACGTAATAACAACTCACCCCCGTTGGCTGTGCCATGCGCCCGTTGCACCCAACGCATCCCACAGCCGCTCTTGAGAGCCCCCGCGGGATACGTGCGCGCGCAACGTTATGGCCATCGCCCGGCAGATGGTCTGTTTCACAAATCACCCCCGTTGGCTGTGCCATGCGCCCGTTGCGCCTAACGTATGCATCCCACAGCAGCTCTCCAGAGCCCCCCAGGGACGGCGAGGTCCCGCTCAGATCCCCGCAGTGCCTCACTCCGCAGGACCCACCAGCAGCCCTCGAAAGTGGTGACAACGTCGCAGATCGCAGCCCCCAGGGACGGCGAGGTCCCGCTCAGATCCCCGCAGTGCCTCACTCCGCAGGACCCACCAGCAGCCCTCGAAAGTGACGACAATGTCGCACATCGCAGCCCCCCAGGGACGGCGAGATCCCGCTTAGATCCCCACGGCGCCTCACTCCGCAGGACCCACCAGCAGCCCTCGAAAGTGGCGACAGTGTCGCAGATCGCAGCCCCCAGGGACGGCGAGGTCCCGCTCAGATCCCCGCGGTGCCTCACTCCGCAAGACCCACCAGCAGCCCTCGAAAGTGGCGACAATGTCGCAGATCCCCACTGGGACGGCGAGGTCCCGCTCAGATCCCCGCGGTGCCTCACTTCGCAGGACCCACCAGCAGCCCTCGAAAGTGGTGACAATGTCGCAGATCGCAGCGCCCCCCAGGGACGGAGAGGTCCCGCTCAGATCCCATCGGTGCCTCACTCCGCAGGACCCACCAGCAGCCCTCGAAAGTGGTGACAACGTCGCAGATCGCAGCCCCCCCAGGGACGGCGAGGTCCCGCTCAGATCCCCGCAGTGCCTCACTCCGCAGGACCCACCAGCAGCCCTCGAAAGTGGTGACAATGTCGCAGATCGCAGCCCCCAGGG